TTGTAACTAATACTTCAATGAACATGACTGGGAAATACGGTTTTGAGGGATATTTTAAGTTGTCTTGGAATCATTAGACTACTTGTCTTGTTTTTAGGTAAAGTAATTGAGACTCAAAGAGAGGAAGTAATAAAACAGTTATAGAAAATCCTCTAGTACATATGTATGTCTTTTGGTTTTCTACATCATTTTGCATGTGTTTGATATATGTCTTTTGAATACTGTTTATTCTTAAAGTGAAAAGAAGAAATCATCTCAAAAAATGAATCAGCAGAAAATAAATACAGAACAATCAAGAATGGGGCTAATATTATACGGAGATGTTAGAAGTAAATGTGTAAAAGACATACAATCAAAAATTCTAATACTACAAGAATATGCATTGTAGGATAACATTGATTTGTCCTTTCTCCCTTTCCACAAGGAGCTTAGGTTTATCAGGTTACACCCAACACAGTGCTCCCAAGTCACTCCTATTCCTCTGGGCTTATCTGTAACTTCTCTATGCCCTCTTCCCCAACCAGTTAATCAGCTTTTTCTCCTAATCAGCTTCTGTTAATTTGTAAGGTCAGATCCTTCTAGGACACTGAATTTGTATTGTAAGTTAACATTGCCTTTCTCCTCTCCTTATGTCTTCTGAATAGTTTATTTTAAAGCAATGCCCTTTTTGTATAGACATAGGAAGACAGTTAATGTTATGCTTTTGCAATTTGGGATTTAATTGGCTTTGAATATTATTTACCCCCAGGCATCTGCTTTCTTGACTAAAGCCTCAATTTCCCTTGGTTCCTAGCACTCCAAAAGCAGGGTCCTGATGAGGGACTGAATGAACCCAGGGCAAACTGTGAGCTACCCTGGCATCAAAATGGCCAGGTCAAAGTGCCACAATACTCAACTATAAATTGAGAGCAATGTCCAAATGCTGTCATGATACAAAAGTAACAATGAGATTGGGACCCCGCTAGGGTTAGAAAAGACTAATTTTGGCTGAGCACTGTAGTCTGAGATCGAGATGACCCCAGGAGAGCAATTCTATGAACTTAATGTATCTCTTACTGTGTCCACACAAAATGATCAATATTAGGAATGTTTGTATGTTTATTGGACTAAGGAGAGGAGAAACACACCCATAGTTGGAATTTCAGTCTAGGGAGAGCCATCTTGCTGGATGGGAATCTGTCCTAGAAGAATCTCCCCCTGAGGGAAGGACTTTAACTCCAATGATTGTGACCACACCTATGTGTTAGCCCCAACCCCTCATGCTTTGGGATTTAACTAGGCTGTAAGCAGGGGCTGGGGATCCAGAGCCAGAGGGAGAATGAGAGAGAAGAAAAGAGAATGAAGTGGGATCGAGAAGGAGAATGAAGTAGCATGGGGGAGGAAGAAGGAGGGGGAGAAGTAGAGAGAGAGTCATGAGTGAATGGAAATGAGATTGGAATAAACAGCAATTGAGACCAACCAGCCTAGCCCTCGTTTCCCTCCTTTGCCTGCCCATCGCCGACCTCTCCAGGGTGGGGGAAGCATCGTGACACTACTGAATGAGAACGTGTGTGGCAGTTCTTTTTTGTGTTTACACTGTCCTTTTTGTGTTTACACAATGTATTTTGACTATCTAGTATTAGTTCTATATTATATTAGTTCTCTATATATTAGTTCTACATATTAGTTCTATATATATTACAGTTCTATATATTAGTTTCCCTACCCAGAAAAAACCAACTACATTTATGTTCATGTTCATCCATGTAGGGGCACGGAGGAGACCCCACAGCGCCCAATATTGTTCTTTGCTTGGCTACCTAAAAAAATTAACACCAGGCATAGTAATGGGATAAAAAGAGATTTCACTACCTATCTATAAAAATGTTACATGGCTGTTAATTCTAAAACAAATGAAGCAGACCATGAGTTTATTTCCTAAACCAAAGAACAGGATGAAGGCTTAGGACAGCCAAGTACAAGGAAGGGATCTTCCATGATGTGAGTGGGATGACTTCATATGATAAGACCTAGCATCTGGGTGTTTGTCCTCTTTAAGATTAGTTTCTACAATGAAAAGGTTATTTCTGAAAATGATCTAAGTTGGGGTAGTCTTCTTTTTTTTATGATCATGGTAACTATTTCTTACTTTAGTGTCACATTATCAAGTGACATATATTAGGAAACACTTAATCATCATCTGGGAATAAGTCTTTGTGAACATTTCAGGGAGGTCAAATGCTACATGCTATAGAATCTGCAAAACATAAATGTGTTCCTACTTATACATGCACATAACTATACATATGGAAAAATACCTAGTGAGTATGCAGCTTATTTATTCTTCTAGATACAATTTACCTCAGGTTCCTTAGACCAGACTATCAGACTTGTGACAGCATATTCTGGTATCCATCATGCCCCAACCAAATTGTTATAGATAAATTGTGCCTAGGCCTATGTTAATTGGGGAAAAACTCTTTTTAAGAACTAAGAAATGTTTATAGTTTTAATAATGAATGCATTCATTCTTAGTACTATGAAAAGTGGGCTAGAGTGATAGCACAGCAGGTAGGGTGTTATCTTGCATGCAGCTGACCCCAGTTCGATTCCTTTGTTCCTCTCAAAGAGCCCAGCAAGCTACTGAGAGTATCCCGCAGCAAGCAGAGCCTATAAAGCTCCCCATGGCATATTTGATATGCCAAAAACAGTAACAACAAGTCTCACAAAGGAGACATTACTGGTGCCTGTTCGAGCAAATCGATGAATGGGAAGACAGTGCTATAGTACGCCTATGAAAAATATCATTCCTATTGTTAACAGTGTACTTTCTCTTTATTAAACTCATATTTAAATGTGGGTTTCTAATTTCAGTGCCAGAAATGCTTACACTTTGTGATTAATGTTTTGCATTTCTGTTACTTGCTGGGGGCCTGATATAACCACATCTATTACATACATGACAGGTAGAAGTCACATTGAGAATTTCAGTTCAAATTTCGTATATGGAAATTTCTACCTTCAGTTGTTCTCACTCTTGGCTATTCTCCAATATTCTCTAGGGTATCACTACTCGTTTCTTCTATTTTTCACATTTTTATTCTTTTCCTAAAGCACTTTGGAACAGAGGACTGTGGGCAGTATTTCACAATCATAAGATAAGGGCCGAATTTTACTGTTCCCAGTAGATGCTACATGGTAGGAAACAATAAGAACTCCACAACCAGACCAGTTAGGTTTAAAGGCTGCTTTTCTCACTTTCAACTATTTTCCTAGTTAAGTTATTCAACCTTTGTGTGATTGAATTTCCCCAATAGTAAAATGAGGATTATAGGAACAAAGCAATAGTAAAGCAGGAGGGCAATTGTAACATCCTAGGTTTTTTGGTATTCAGCACACAAGTTTTTTAAGTATAAATTAGATCCCAGAGTAATCCCTGAGCTCTGCAAGGTGTGGCTCCCAAACAAGAAAAATAAAAGCAACAAACATAAGGAATATAATGATATGACCTTAACTGATAGCATTAGTTAATTAATTCAGATGAAATGAAACAATACTTTCAGAAAAATGAATTGCACAGGGATTTTTAGATGATCTAGGATAGTTATTATTTTTATTAAAAAAAAACAGGGACTGGAGTGATAGCAAAGCAGGTAGGGTGTTTGCCTTGCACATGGCTGACCCGGGTCTGCTCCGGGTCTGATTCCCAGCACCCCATATGGTCCCCTGAGCACCATCAGGGGTAATTCCTGAGTGCAGAGCCAGGAGTGATCCCTGTGCATTTCTGGGTGTGACCCAAAAAGCAAAAAAAAAAAAAAACCAACTATGGAGTATTTTTCTCTGAATTTATAATATTCATGAATGTATTCTGAATCTTAGGTCTATAGATACTCAGTATTGAGAAGGGTAATAAAAATAAACTAATATAATGATCCCTGTAGATCAGCAATTATTACAATATCCCAGTAAAGCAGGGCACTAATTATTCTGGCAGGAACAGAAATGATCTCAGAAACTATTACTGCAGAACTCTGGTCAAAGGAAATGTTTTTATAAATATCACAGTCAGTTCTCACTTCTCCCTGGTGCATTTTAAAAATATATCTTTTTTTGGCAACATCATCTTAATTTGGCCAAGCATATATAAATTTCTGAGTAATGACTTCATTTTCAAAAATGTAACTTACACTGCTAAAATTTGAGTAATTAGAATATTAAAGATGCACATGGCTGAGAAGACCTACATTTTAGTTTTTAACACCTTTGACCGTTTACTATCTCATTCTAGATTTTAGTTGTATTGAGTACCAGAATTTCTACACCTGGATGAATAAAACAAACTGTGTGCAGTCAGTTTAGATAATTGTTAACACCACAAAAAAAAGAAGTAGCTCAAAATTATAGCTAATAAAATAATATTTAGAGTGAACATTATATCAAGTGTACGGTCTATATCAACATGTAAAGAGAAGATTAAGATAGTTGCATATTTAGAAAAATAAAATGATCCTAATCATAGACAATTTTCAAGATTCAAAAACTTGAAGATTTTTTTTTCTTATTGGGTCAGGACACTGAGGATTTCACTAACATCTATCTTTAAAACAGGATATTGCATTTCTACTATAAAAGAACACATGCAAAATGAAATTTGGCATGTTATTTTACTTAATACAGTTTGTAATTATAATATACATTCTTCTGAAGATTAGATAATATTTCTTTATAAGGGCACATTATTGATTATTTTTAAAATGCCTGATTGATGATCTTTTGTTTTAGACCCTTTTTAACATTACATTTCAACAGACATTTCCTTAGATATTTTTCCCTTGTACTTTGCTAAAGCTTCTAGGTAAACCAATAGCAAAAGAAAAACCCAAACCCAACAACAGCAATAACAATAACCCCAAAAGCAAATGAAACAGTTGTCTAAATGGTTCAATTTTTCTTAAATATTTGGGTAGGGGTGATTTTTGTTTTGACATTTCAATTATATTAAAAAGTCATTTCAGACCAGTATGAAGATAAACCTGAAACACTGTTTCCCTAGAGATCCTGGGAGCAATAAATTAGCTGACATGTATGAATGCTTTCAAGATGAAAAGTACTGAGTGTTATTTAAACAGTAGCTGAAGGAGACATGATTAAGTATAGTTCCACCTAGAAGCTATTCTGACTGTGATGAACAGGTTTCTACTCTCCAATGACAGGATGCTTTAAGAGGGGCCTATATCGTGAGGTATGAAAAGGAGTCATCTGTGAACAAAAATACATTCAATATAGCAGGTCTGAAATAGTGAGGGATGCTGGGGGATTTAAATAGCACGTAAGTATCTGTACTTGGAGAATTAAAACTTCTGAAGAAAGACAATGCAAGCTTTGCTTCTGAATCATCTTGTCAAATCTATTTTGGAATCATTGAATTTGTCTTACTTGCATAAACAATTTGATCTCCCTCACTGAAAAGATTAACTCCTAACTCTTTTTAGACAGTATATGTGGTAACATTCATTCATTTCCCTTCTACCTAACTTTTTTCTTCGACCAGGATTTCACAGGAGATTAAAGGCTAAAGGAAATGATAAACCTTTCATAAGGATTTGCATTTTAAGGATGGGATTGTGGCTCAATGATAGGAAAGGTACCTTGAATACCTCACATGCTGAGGTCTTGGGTTTGATCCCAAGCAGTACCAAAAAAGAATTTGTATTTTAAAGAACTTCGGATTAAATAGAAAGGTGGAAGACTTATGTACTGAATAACAAAAACCTAGGACATGTTAGTACTAAAAGTCAATTTCTCAATGTACATTCGTATTTTAAACTCAAATCAAACCAATTACAGAGCTGTGACCTTAGGCTGGAGTCAGGAAGTTGATCCTTGAGGGATGCCTGATCTCTGCCCAGTTTCCCTCACCCATCTGTCTCCTGCCCTGGAAGAAGAATTTCTGAAAGAGGATGAATAATAAGTTTAGTCAGGAAATATGAGAGGACAGAATGGGGTTTCAAGTTCAAGACAGAATGTCAATTGCTCCACATTGGAATGAAGGACACATGCGCAGCAGAACTCTAGGCAACCCCCCCATTTCCCACCCTACCCTCCGCCAGATGTAGGACATCTTACTCTTTGTCACTGCAGAGTTAGTTTTTATACAAAAAATAATTTATTTATAGCACTGTAGCACTGTCCTCCCGTTGTTCATCAATTTGGGGCACCAGTAATGTCTCACAACAAATTATGAGACTTGTTGTTACTGTTTTTGGCATATTGAATATGTCACAGGGAGCTTGCTAGGCTTTGCAGTGTGGGCGAGATACTTTCGGTAGTTTGCCCAGCTCTCCGAGAGGGGCAGAGGAATCGAACCCAGGTTGGTTTCATGCAAGGCAAATGCCCTACCTGAAATATAAACTTACATAAAAATAAAAATTCCTAAACTATTCCCCCACAATCCTTTGATATGCTTTTGCTAAAGATTTTGTTAGCAGTAGGGGAGAGGAAGACCTGTGGATGGGATTTTTATATATTAAGCTTGGGTTTTGTTCCCATACTGGCAAACACTCCTCAGGATCCTTCTCATCTCCCAGAATTTTGCATCTCAAAGGCTTTTTAGGCTGCCTCAGGCCTTTGAGCAGGTTTAACTTGAAAACTCAGAGAGAGAGAGAGAGAGAGAGAGAGAGAGAGAGAGAGAGAGAGAGAGAGAGAGAGAGAGAGAGAGTGTGTTTTCTTTTCTTTGTTTGTTCGGGGAAGACTCTGAGATGATTTGGATTTACTCCTAGTTCTGGATTCAAGGATCGCTCCTGGTGGGTTGTGGGGACTATGTAAGGTGCCAGAGATCAAACCCAGGTAGGCCGCATGCAAGGCAAGTGCCTTACCCTCTGTACTATCTCTTGGCCCCAGAGACAGTGTCTTTCAGTTCTGCTTTTTAGGACTTCCTATCTCCTTGCCTGCAACTCATTGAATCAAGCAGGTTTATGCTAAAGGTTTACTTAAAGATGGTGGAAGAGGGTCAGATCATTATTCTGAGTAAATAGTTGTATCATATAAGTGTTACAGTTCTGAAAGAATAGATTTGGCCATTTATAACATTCCAACTCATTTTATTATTTTTTTTGTCAGTAGGTGTATCAACTCTAAAGATCAATATGGTAATGTCTGGTATATCTGGTAAGGACATTCTTTATGTTATAAAAACTTTAATAAAGTCTACATATCCACCTGCTTTATCATCTCTAAATAGTTTTAGAGAACCTACTTTAACTAAATAATTTAGATGGCACATGAAATGATAAATGGCTTAAGGAATTATTATTTTTGGAGGGGGATTGGGGAACACCTGACAGTGCTCCAGTTGTATTTCTGTTACTCCTGATTCTGTACTCAGAGGTCATTCCTGGCAGCCTCTGAGGACTATATGGAATGCTGAGCATTGAACCTGGGTCAGCTCTTTGCAAGGGAAGTTCCCTCCCTGCTGTACTGTGTTCACAGCCTCGATTTATGGAAATGTTAATGGTCCAGTAAATATATAAATGTACATTCCTTTCAGATTGCTGCTCAGTGCTTTTCATTTTGATAATTCATGTGACAATAAACTTATCCTTGAAAATGATAATTCATTCTCAAGATGGAAATTTTTAACAGAAAATAATTGTTCTTCTCAAAAGCTCTCTAAAATATTCTACAGATTTTTAGTTCTTACTTTAACAGACCCACAATATAAAGCAAAAGATCTCTTGGGGCTGGAATGATAGTACAGTAGGAAGGGCATTTGCCCTGAATGAATCCAATCTAGGTTCGATTCCTGTAATGTCATATGGTACCCAAATCTGCAAGAAGTGATCCTTGAGTATAAAGCCAGAGGTAAGCCCTGAGCACACTAAGTATGGCCCAAGAAACAAAACAACAAACAAACAAACAAGCAAAAAAGACCTCTTCAAAGAACTAGTTCTTATCCTTCAAAAATTTTTGAGTTTTTATTTCTTCCTAAATTATTGTAGCCTTCAATTACTATTGTCTTAGAATTAGTTTCTCAAAGACAAAGATAATCTACTCTATGTCTTTATTTCCTACCTAAGTTCAGCATCTAAAATCTATTCAGTTACTTCATTGCTGGTCAAATGAATGTATAAAGGTGAAATGCAATTGATGGATGTCCAAAAAGTATATGGTTCTTATCACCTGACAAGAGTAACTTCCTCAGCAAACATCTGGGTTAATTGAGACTATATGAATACAAGGAAGTTGACTGATGAGTTGAACCTTTCTGATTGTACTCATCCTGTCTATTTAAATCTGCCTTCCTTCTCCAGGAAGTCATAAGTGGTTTCAGTACCTCTCTGATCCAGGCTACACCTCCCTGTGTTCCTTTCTTGTCAGGTTCCTGCTGCTGATTTTCCTGACAGTTCTGCTCTGTGGAGTCATGTTCTTCTGTATTCAGTGCTGGCTGAGACCCCATATTGACTCCCCAAGATGTACTGTGGCTGTTTATGCTGTTGGAGACATGGACCCTAATTATGGTAAGATGTTTATGTATTTCTGGACTTTGAAAAAGTTATAAAATGATAAAGGTTTTCTCTTTTAAAAAAATTAACTTTTGACAGAGTTGTGAATTCACAAAAAGAGTTTATTGGAGCCTTGAAAGGATATGTGCATTGGGGAGAGAGTTCAAATGGGAAAACATCAGAAGAACACAAAAAGGAGGAAGTGCAGTACACTCCAGTTCTATGTGTTTAGCAAAGTTAGAAGGAATGACAAATATCAGATTATTTCACTCATCTGTGGTATAGAGACAAAGCAAGGGAATAGAGAGCATCAAATTATGGCAACCTGTTGCTTTGGGATTTACAAAACTCAAATCTCCAAACACCGAGAGATGGGGTAGGAGAGGAATGGAGAGATGATCTTGTGGTCACAGAGGAACAGTGAATGGTGTGTTTTGGGCACTTTTATGCTGATAAAATGCAGTGACTTTGGATATCAATACCATATATGCCAACAACTTTGTAACCATTTTATCTAAACTATTATAAAATTAATTAATTATAAAAGTATTCTGGGAAAATGGCCCATCGTTAAGGTTGAGGATGTAGATAAACTAAATATTTTGCTAAAAAAATCTTAGAGAAGAGTTATACAGAACAGGTCCCTTCAAATGAGTCAGAATTTAAGGAAGAGAAGAGTATCTCTTACCTTTTAATATATTTACTCTACCATTGCTGATTGTCTGATTTACTAAATTTTTTATTTCAGCTTTCTGAAATGTTTAATACTGAACTGCACCCACAGGTTGCTGCCAATGTTAAACCTGGAGCAACTGTAACTGGGCAGAGAATGTCAGTAACCATGTCCTTTTCCCTGGACATACTGGCAACATCTTGTGCATACCTACTCTCAAATCCCACCTCCCAAGTGATGCCTATACTATTATGTTACAGTCTCCTTTAAGAAGTAAGGTAAAGAGAAAATTTGAGATTATGAAGGATTGTGTAATTGCCAACCGGAGCTGTAAGTAGGAAGTTGAACACTTACAATTTTTTTTTTTTTTTTTATTTATTTATTTATTGAATCACTGTGGGAAAGGTTACAAAGCTTTCAGGTTTATGTCTCAGTCATGCAAATATCAAACACATTTCCCTTTACCAATACTTATTTTTTCCCATGAAGAACCCCAATAAAACCCCACCCCCCACCCCTCCCCGTCCCTGTGAGGCAGATGAATTCTAGTTAACACTCTATCCGCTTTGATTAGATTGTTTCAATAAAAGATTCACCACTATTATTTAGAGTTTACACCCCCCCCCAAATCAGACATGCTGAAAAAGCATTGTGAAGTGATTTGCTTTCTCCAGCTGGGTTCAAGAATTAAATGTTGGTTTTGGATTTCTGCTATTTTACTTATTGACCCTGGAAGTATTTCTACTGAAAGTCAGATAGTTAAGAAATTGGTTTCTGTGTTCTGGAGTCGTGGCCGTGCTGGAGAGCCGCTCGTGGGGGGCAACTGGTGGCCTCGGTAGGGCGTGAAGGGCGGAGCGAAACGCCCCCCTTCCCATGAGGTTTTAGTCGCCCCCACACTCCCGGCTCATACCTGCTGTCCACAAGGCTCCCATGTGGCCGCCATCTTTCTTTCCAGAGAGGAGAGGGCGAATGGGGCAACACCCTTTCCCCTCCGGCAGACTTGATGGCCTGGGTCAATGCATAGTCCTTTCACTTTTCTGCTCCAAGCTGCTGGGTTCTGCATTAAGCCCTTGTGCTTCTGGGGCTGTGGTCGTGCTGGAGAGCCGCTCGTGGGGGGCAACTGGTGACCTCGGTAGGGCGTGAAGGACGGACCGGAACGCCCCCCTTCCCATGAGGTTTTAGTCGCCCCCACACTCCCGGCTCATACCTGCTGTCCACAAGGCTCCCATGTGGCCGCCATCTTTCTTTCCAGAGAGGAGAGGGCGAATGGGGCAACACCCTTTCCCCTCCGGCAGACTTGATGGCCTGGGTCAATGCATAGTCCGTTCACTTTTCTGCTCCAAGCTGCTGGGTTCTGCATTAAGTCCTTGTGCTTCTGGGGCCGTGGCTGTGCTGGAGAGCCGCTCGTGGGGGGTGACTGGTGACCTCGGTAGGGCGTGAAGGACGGACCGGAACGCCCCCCTTCCCATGAGGTTTTAGTCGCCCCCACACCCCCGGCTCATACCTGCTGTCCACAAGGCTCCCAGGTGGCCGCCATCTTTCTTTCCAGAGGGAGGAGGGCGGAAGGGAGCAACACCCTTTCCCCTCTGGGCAGAAATGATTGCCTGGATTAACGCATAGTCCTTTCACTTTTCTGCTCCAAGCTGCTGGGTTCTGCATTAAGCCCTTGTGCTTCTGGGGCTGTGGCCGTGCTGGAGAGCCGCTCGTGGGGGGCAACTGGTGGCCTCGGTAGGGCGTGAAGGACGGACCGGAACGCCCCCCTTCCCATGAGGTTTTAGTCGCCCCCACACCCCCGGCTCCTACCTGCTGTCCACAAGGCTCCCATGCGGCCGCCATCCTTCTTTCCAGAGAAGAGAGGGCGAATGGGGCAACACCCTTTCCCCTCCGGCAGACTTGATGGCCTGGATTAACGCATAGTCCTTTCACTTTTCTGCTCTAAGCTGCTGGGTTCTGCATTAAGTCCTTGTGTTTCTGGGGCTGTGGCCGTGCTCCAAACTTAACTCTGACTTTCAGGGAGAAAGATTGGGTGGTTTACTTCTCATTGATCACTTTGTATATAGAGAGAAGTCGCGCGGCCGCGTAAGCGGCCGCGCGGTTTTGAGAAAAAGTCCTCGTTCCCGCATACTCGAGCTGTGTTTGTAGAGGCTTCTGGTCACCGGGGTTCCATCTGGGGGAGGCGAGATGCGGCGCCTACTCCATCTGGAACTTGCGGGTGAACTTGGCTCTTTTTGGAACCTGTTTTTTCTTTTTTTTTTTCCTCCGGGATCCCGCACTCTCCATGTGTTCTTTCTCTTATGCTTAAGGCTTCAAAGATGGCGCTGGGGGGCGGGCTGTGGGCATGCCTTCCGGAATCAGAGGTTACCTGGGAGGTGTAGTTCGGCAGATTTGAGAAAAAGTCCTCGTTCCCGCATACTCGAGCTGTGTTTGTAGAGGCTTCTGGTCACCGGGGTTCCATCTGGGGGAGGCGAGATGCGGCGCCTACTCCATCTGGAACTTGCGGGTGAACTTGGCTCTTTTTGGAACCTGTTTTTTCTTTTTTTTTTTCCTCCGGGATCCCGCACTCTCCATGTGTTCTTTCTCTTATGCTTAAGGCTTCAAAGATGGCGCTGGGGGGCGGGCTGTGGGCATGCCTTCCGGAATCAGAGGTTACCTGGGAGGTGTAGTTCGGCAGATTTGAGAAAAAGTCCTCGTTCCCGCATACTTACAATTTTTTTTGAGTAAACATATTTATTTTATTTTTATTTATTTTTAATTTTTATTAGTGAGACACCATGAGGTACAGTTGTAGACTTACAAATTTTTGTGCTTGGGTTTCAATTATACAATGATCAAGTACCCATCCCTCCACCAGTGAGTGCCCTTTTTCCACGACTACGGATCCCAGTATCCCTCCCGCCCCCTTATCCCCAGGTCCCCATCCCAACCCTCTGTGGCAGGGCATTCCCTTTTGTTCTCTCTCTCCTTTTGGGTGTTGTGGTTTGCAAAAGAGTCATTGAGTGGCAATCATGTTTGGACTATAGTCTACTTTCAGCATGCTTCTCCCATCTTGGGCGGATCCTCCTAACACCCTTTATTTGGTCTTCCTTTCTCTGTCTGAGCTTCCCTTTCCCCTAGCATGTATGGCTGGCCTCCAAGCCATGGAGTAAACCTCCTGGTACTTATCTCCGCTATTCTTGGGTATTAGTCTCCTATTTTGTGAGTAACATATTTATAGCTAACTCCTTTGCATTAAGTAATGTCCTCATCTAGATTAACTGTTTGGAGACATTTCCACTATGGTGCTTCATTGCTCACCATAATTATCTCAAATGGTTGCTAGAGATGTCCTTCAGAAACCTAGGCCAGGAAAAATTTTCAATATTGGAATAAGGCAAGTTCTGGAAAAACTTACAGTGAAATAAAATGTGAGGCAAAAGAATAAAACCAAACAACTTTTGTATGAAAACAGTATTCTAAGATTTAGAGATTATGTTCACTATTGGCTTTTAAAGTCAATATTTAATAAGGGAAACACATTGTCAACTTGATAAATGTTTGTTTTGGAAAAGATAATCAAAGTATCCAATAAAAATTATTCATTCTCCTAAAATAAAAATCACTTTCCATTGAATACTGAGGAAAATAGTGTCACCAATCTTCTAACAAAGCATTTTAGTGTGTTTTTTCTGTTCACATGATCCTATTTTTATTAATTTAACTAGCAGTATTTACAAATAAATGCTATTATCATTCTTCCAATTTCACTTGAAGTGAATACTGGACTATCTTCTTAATCTTTTTTCACCCTGAAAAAATATTTTACTGATTTCTATTACCAATTTCCTTTTAAAAAAGCTATTAAAAATCCATTTTTTAATTTTAAATAATTCATCCAGGTTATTGTTAAAACAGTAAAGGCAGTTTATTCCCAAATGATTTTTACATGGCTTAGATGATAGCTTGCATAGGCTTTTTACTATGTTTGAATTTTCAGAAACAGTTATGAATGTGAGAGAAGATCATGACATCTATTGCTCCAATAATCTTCACATAACAATGAGTACAGTGCATTAGAATAATATCCACTGTAATGCCCAGAACTCATTATACACAGAAACAAATGTACCTGGGATGAAAAGATTATTTAACAAAGTAGTTTAATGGTGAGCTTAATATAGTGTATGCATCTATAAGCTAATTTTCAATGATGTATACCTGTCCCTTATGCAGAAAACAATACAATGTCCATTGAATAAAAGTGGATAAATGCAATTCTAAAAAATGAAAGCAGTATAGTCAACTCACTTAATTTTCCAAAATGTTTGTTTTAATTCTTTAATCAAATACGAATATGCTTTGTAAC